GCCCCCGTCGCCCCCCCGCCCTCGGCACCGACACACGCGAGACGCACAGTCCACAATTGCTGACCGCCCTCCCCCTCAGACAAACGGCCGCGAAGGGGTCCAAGGAACGGGGGGGGGCACCCGAATTACGCGCATCGGGAAGCAGGTCCTATTTCCAGAAATTCAAGCCAACCGCCAGGAAAGAAAAATGTATAGCAGCTGACACAACCGACGTCCTGAGTTAGATCGCCCATTCATAAACGAGTGACGTATGCACACAGATGCGCCTTCGTCGCCCTATTCCCTTTTGAGGTAAGCAGAGGGCAAGAACTGGTAGGCAGAGGAAATCAGAGGTATGCCGAGTGTGCCAGGACAGCACGCTTATCTCCTAGATGGGGGGCTCTGTGGGCAACCACAGGCTTTTAAAATAGTCTCTAGATGAGACACCGTCTCTTGCAAAGAAGAGACGGAGCGTGGGTTAAAACGGGGCTCTGGCTGCACTCCTGGGACCCTGGACAACCTGACTGTACCGTGCGTATTGTTAAGGAGTGCTGTTGCGCGTGGCTAAGGCTGGTGATCTAATCTAATCTCTACCCTGATCCACATCTTCCCCATCTTACTAAAATATCCTCTCGCGCACAGTGCTCAATCCTGTCATTTCAGGACAGCAAAGCCTGCAAAAATGCCTCCGCAGCTCATGTACTGAAAATAAGCCTCATCCAAGGCTGCTTCGGATCATGGTCTTTCCTAACTGAGAGGTTCTCACTAGGTGCCAAAAATAAACAATGCCCATCTAGCCAGTAACACTATATATAACATGCTGAATTCATGTTTTGACATCAACATACACCAGTTCTGAGTCTTCAGCTATATCTGCCACAGCACAGTGCACAAAAAGGAATGAAACTACATTTCCACAAATGTGACAAAGACACACCACACATCCCAAAGCAGAGATGCACCTATTCTAAAAAAGGATCATTAGCTTGCAAAGCAAGTAGATAGCTTTTTCTGTCTTTGAACCAGAGAAGTCAGGGGAAAGCGCGAACGCAGTCCCCCACTACCACAAATTATGCAGTCGAGTTTCCCGCATTTGGGGAAATCGCAGGGGTCAGCACACCCGGAGTGCAATGGATGAGCCTCACCCTGGGAAAACCACCTTCATGATCATGGTATCTCCCCTGCCAGGTAAGTATGAGTTGAGAGGGCACGGCTGCCTCCATGCCCTTCCTCGCCTCTGCCCCCAACCCCATGGTGACTCTGCCCAAGGATTTCCAGCAAGCTCGGGAAGGCCCAGCAGAGCTCCTGCCTCCCCCTAGTCTACTTGCAATTATGTTGGGGTTCTGTGCAAGCCCAGATTTGCACCCCATTTTTGCACCCACAATGCCTCCGCATGCAAAGATTTGCATGTCTGTCTGCCTCCTTTTGCAATCGTCATGCCTCTGGTACGCAACTAGACTTTCTATTGGTGCTACAAGGGGGGGAGGGACCGCAGAGATTTCTTGTGCTCAGATTCTGCAGAGAATGTGCTGCACTCTCCTTTGTTCACTCTTGAACAGAACTGGTTGTACCAGCCACAAATTAAACAACTGTCACTTTTCGTGCATTTTATTTCCACTTGCTGCTCAGTAAATCTTCGAAGCAACACAATGTTGTGCATTGTAATTTGCTTCCTTGCAGTCTTCTTGAAGGAAGAAGAAACTGTTGCTATGGGCAATTTCCCACTGTCAGATTGCTATATCAGCTTGATTTTGTTTCTATTTTTTTAAAGCGTAGACTGAATGTGACAAAGAATATTTGATCAGAGTTTATGCACACCTTCTTACTCTTAGCTTACCTACTTTTCTTCAGTTTTCCTATTTTCCCATCTACTGACAACTTTTGTAATCCAAAGGTTCTTGACACATGAAATTAAAGACCCTGACCCCTTCACAAAGCCTTAGAAAAGATGCACCAGTTGAAAAGCAGAGGACAGGAACAGCTGAGACGGAAGGCATAAAGAAACTATCACCATTTTAAGTTCTTTATCACTTTCCCATACAACATGATGGAATAATTACATTAAATCCAGCAAATCCAAGGTCTCCCAACTTCTGAGGAGTTTAAATAAAACTGAGGAGTTTAAATTGTCACCAAAGACAAATTCCTTGTATGTATTTTATACTTGGCCATTAAAGCATTCTGTATTAGGCAGCAAAAAGATCACTCTCACAAAACCCGTGATAAACAAGAAATCACAAACACAACTCTTCTATCTTTGAACCAGAGAAGTCAGGGGAAAGCGCGAACGCAGTCCCCCACTACCACAAATTATGCAGTCGAGTTTCCCGCATTTGGGGAAATCGCAGGGGTCAGCACACCCGGAGTGCAATGGAT